TATGAAAAATTGCATAGATGTGTCGGACACACTATCCATGTTGATGCATCATAGAGTTGTGATGTACAAATTTTTAAACTAAGGTAGCATATCCGTATCCGACACGTGTTCGATACCGACACTCTACCGTGGTAATTTTCTTACTTTATCTGGAATACTATATATTTTTAACTCGTAATTAGATAATAAATTATCTAGTCATATTTAAAATATTTAAACAAGAAAAATTAACAAGAAGTAAAAAATTAAATTTATACTATATAGACAATAATTTTAAAGATTTTAATTAACATGTCGTATCAGTACTCTTTGAAAATTTTTGGGTCGACGGTGTATTTGACGCATGTTGTGTTTTCTTTGTATTTGTGATTCTAGTCTATTGTTTTAATCTTAGGTCACCATCAAATATTCAAAAGGCGGCAAGGAAACAAAAATGGATTTGATGGTGATGGAGAATATCTTCTTTAAAAGAAGTATATCGATGGTATATGACCTTAAGGGCTCTGCACGTTCTCGTTATAACTCAGATACAACGGGAACAAATAAGGTATTATTAGATATGAATCTATTAGAAACACTGCGTACAAAACCCATATTCCTTGGAAGCAAAGCAAAAAGGAGCCTGGAAAGAGCTGTTTGGAACGATACATCCTTTTTAGCGGTAATCTACTTTTACAGCCTAATCTTTGATGAATTTATTGAGTATAGATCTCTAGTTTGAAGCTTTTCACAATTATGTTTATTTTTATAAGTGGTTCAAAAAGTGCACTGATTTCACCTGAAATATTAACGATGGAAGTTGCTATAGATTGTTCGAGAAAAGAACAGAGCAACTGGCAAGAGCATGTTTCCATTTGCTTGATTTCTCTAAAACGAAAATGATTTTTCTAACATAATACAAATTTGTGCTCGAGAAAAATCAAGGAAAAGTGGTGCAGCGCATGCATGTAACTTTGTGTTTGATCTTTTTATTCATAGTTTTATACCGATTGGTTAATATGATGATATTATGTTAATCTTCATGATTACAGTCAGTTGATGTGATGGACTACTCCCTGTTGGTCGGGGTGGACGAGGAGCGCAAGGAGCTGGTTGTAGGGATAATTGATTTCATGAGGCAATACACTTGGGACAAGCAGTTGGAGACATTGGTAAAGGCATCCGGCCTCCTCGGTGGACCAAAGCACGCATCGCCAACTATTATATCGCCAAAACAATACAAGAAAAGATTCAGAAAAGCAATGACGACCTACTTTCTTACAGTCCCGGATCAATGGCCTTAGTTTCTTCATGTCACGCACCTCAGGGTAAATGGATATTTGGTACATTCTTTTAGTTTGGAAACCTATGGTCGAGCCAATGCTTTTTATTGTTTGTACATCACCCGTTAATAAAATGTCAAATAGAAAAGTATTA